TTTATAAATGAGCTCCTGGTTCTGATCTTACCATCCGTCTTTTTTTAGTTTTACTCTTTTCTCATCTGAAACATTTTTTTATTTCTGTATCGGCCCCTTTAATGTTGCCTGATCGTCAAACTGCTTTTCATTATTAGCTTTTGTTTCCTTAATTTTTTCATTTGAAACTTGTAAATCTTGTGTTTGAAAAGCTGCTGTGTAAATAAAGTTTAGCTTATTATTATTTCTATTTCGAAATATTTCTAAAACCAGGTTGACAACTTTATTCATTAAGAGCCTTTGACTCGGCTCTTTTAAAAGGTCATTTCATTTTTATATTGTTTCTAGTTTTATTTTATTATGTTACACACTTACTGATATTTCTCTTTCAAATTATTTTTTTATTTTCATACAGACCTGTTTTATTCTACTATTTTTAATTTCTTTAAATCTATTGTCTGTGCTGTTCTTAATGTCAAATCATCATCATCATCATCATTATTATTATGACATAACTATGAAAGTGAGTGAAATGTTGTGTAGTTATCAGCCAATTAAACAATTCATAAAACTAACAACGTCAGTTTTCAGTCCTGGAGTCAAATTAAATTCAAAACAAAGCGAGAAACAAACTCAACTGCAGAACTTTGACTCTGCTGCAAATCAGAACCCTGCAGAGAAACTCAGCATCTGCAGAGCGTGACGATGATTGAGCTCAGAATCAATCAGAGAAACTGAACCGAGACAAACACACAGATTCAAGTCAGAGCTCATCAGCTGGTACTCATCTGCATGATGTGATGAAGAGGAGGAGACCAGAGAACATGAAGAAGATGAAGAAGAAGAGTCACTCTCTCATGTGTTTGATGATTCAGTTTGATTCCACAGGAGAAGAAGAGACACGAGGGAGTGATGAAGAGTGATGAAGAGGACGTGATCTCTTCCTGGTCAGGATCACACGTCACCTGTCACACAGGTGTGAATGAGCCAATCAGAGCAGAGCACACGAGCAGCTGCTTCAGTTTGAATTATCTGTGAATTCATCACACAGCTCACACTGATTCCTGGAGTCACATTAGAGATTTTAAAACATTATTCATTCATTCATTCATCTTTTCTGACCTCATTGAATCCTACACAGCGCCTCCCACAGGCTGAGTGATGAATATGTATCCTAACGTTTAAGATTAATATATTTTAATTACTTGTAGAAAGATTCCATGAAGCTTGAAAGATTTAATTATCTTGTTGACATTTGTTTTAATTCAGGAGGAAGAAAAATACCAACGAGCCGCACTTCATCAAATTCTTCAACAGATTTCAGTGTCGCTGGTCTTTTCTTTTTTAATGAGGACGATTTGTAATCTGTTGTTTAATAATACAAAGGAAAAAATCAGACGTTTTCCTGACGACCACAATGAAAATCCTCCAGATGTCACGACGCACGCTGAGTGATGAGGAGGCCTGAAGTCTCCACGAGCCTCTGATGAGACTCTGAAGAGAGAAAGTGACTGAATACTTCACCTCCGTCAACGTGACTGAGCTGCTCACGATTAGCATTTTATAATCTGAATGTAATTACGCTCATTAATCCTCTTGTATCTGTCACCTGGAGCTCGGATGAGTCCCGGACGACACAGGTTCACCTGTGAGTCAGCAGCACTTCAGTTCCACTCACAGATGAGTTTATGTGTCTGTGTTTAACAGACACCAATTATGTTTTTCAGAGTTTCTTTATTTATTAAATTGGTAGTTGTAGTCATAGTTTGCAGTTATTTGTATATAACATATATTTTTTTTATATGCTCATGGACACTCAGCAGGAATCCGTTTCTTGTGACCTGCTCTCACCTCCCTCTGGATTAATTAGTCTCTTTGACTGAAAGTTAATGTGAACAAATTCTCTGAGACATGAGAAAAACACTGAAAATTAAATTAGATTTGGTCTGCGAGGCGCTTTAATGGCCTCGAAGTTTAGTTACATCATTACGGTGCAGGATTAATTAAGCAAAGCTCCTCGATGACAGACGAAGGTACAAATCCTGCCTCCGGCTCCAACATCTGTGCGGCTGAGGTCCTGTGGAGTTTACATCATTCACACACACACAGAAGCAGGAGGACAGAAGCAGGAGGACAGACGGAGGAGGACAGACGGAGGAGGACAGACAGAGGAGCTCAGATAAAACACTGAGTGCAGGTGATTCAGGGCTGTTACCTGAACACTGAAGGAAACTGAATCGTCCTCCAGCTTCTGAACTTATGTTCAATCTGAGGCAGCGAATGTCTGATTCCTGGAAAGACGAGTAATATGTCATGCTGCTCTGTACGTCCACAGAAATCACTGCGATGACTCCATGAAAACTGTTTAACGAGGCTCCGTCGCTCGTTAGTTTAAATGTATCTGTAAAGCTGCTTTCAGACGATGAACTGATCTCTGGATAATCTCCTGAAATTATCCAGAGATCAGTTCAGAGTCAGATGCTTTGGACATTTCTCGTCCTTTAAATGTCCAAATGCATCCGTGTGAGGACACATCAGGAGACTGATTCAACGTGAGTGAGTGTTGACGACGTTCGAACAACAAAAAGAACACAAACATCTCAGGGTGAAAAAGAGTCTGACTCAGACGTCAACTTGGAAAGATGAGGACATTACAGATCTTTTGCTAAGAAGAGCTAATGCTGGTGTTGATGTGTGACTCCTTTTCTGGAGTTTATATCTGAAAACATATTTGATGATATTAGAACCATCTATCCTGTGGTGGTTTTTTTGGGTGGGGGGGCCCTTTTGCCTTTTATCCGTGGCCCCTTAAGTCTCTGGAAACGCTCCTGAGAGGAGGTGAAGACATAAAACGTTTCTATTAATGAAGACGAAGGTTCCACAGGAGACGAAGCAGTGAGTGTTTCTCTGTTTCTCTCTCAAGGTCAGAGACCACAGCAGCATGTTGCTGTAATGGGGGGGGGGGGTGTCACCAATTATTCCTGCACATCTTTTTGTTCTGGCTGCTCTCGGCCTGCAGGCTCACTGTCCGCATTGATTTTCTTATAACTGCTGACTGTCAGTTTCTGCTGGTTGTAAATTCTGCTGCTGCATTTCCTCACCGTTGAGAATTTGCCAGTATGAGACTGCGGCCGCTAACGGAGCCAAACAGCCTCACGCTCGTTATTTACAGCAGTGTTGAGAGGACTGACTCGGATCTGCAGCGGGGTCACAAAGAAACCGTCAAATTTAAATACCTCTGTCGTCAAACAGTCTTCACTTGATCCCGGGAATAAAATGAAGCTTGACATGATTTGAAAGCGAAGCTGAGTTGCTGCTCGTTCACTACAGCAACATATCAGGAAGCTTTTCTCATAGTTACGAGATGTTAAAGTGTCACAGATCTGTTGTTGTCCCACATCGTCAGGTCGTTCTGATCACTTAAAACAACAACATCCTGTATCTTCCCTCTTCTAATTGAACTGTTCCATGTCAAGGTCCATTTTATTTATATAGCACATTTAAAACAACAAGAAGACAGTAACACGTATAATACATCAGAGAAGTACAATAAAAAACAAGATAGAAAATAGAATCATTTAAATTAAATTTACACACACTGTGTGTGTGTGTGTGTGTGTGTGTGTGTGTGTGTGCAGTCAGCATGTTTCATGTTATAAAGATCATGCTGTTCTCACAAGATACATTAAAGAGGGGAAATGACAGGTATGGATTTCACTGGATGAATTAATACCAGCATGCAAATGACCTGGGTTACTGCTGTTGTGCATGTGTGTGTGTGTGTGTGTGTGTGTGTGCGTGTGTGTGTGTGTTAGAGATCTTTAGATTGATGTCTCTGTGTCACCTGCAGACCATTTCCTCATTGTTAGTCATGGGCTCAGTCAGTGGAGCACTTCACCTTCATTTAGGTCTGTCATCCACACACACACACACACACACACACACACACACACACAC